GTTCGAGCTTTCTCTATCCTTGTCTTTACTTCACTGATCATGTCTCAGCTTTCATGTAAATTAAAACCGAGGTACATGGTCCTTTCAACTTTTTCTAGTGATATTCCTTCCGAATTTATCAGTGATAAATTAATGGGTTGTTTGCTGACGACCATGATCTTGGTTTTTGGGGTGTTAAGCTTCAAGCCATATTTTTCAGATATTATCAGATAAAGATAAACCTTATAAAATGTTAATATGACTGTAGCCCAGATAAGAGCTGCTTGTGAGGCCAGCACATCCAGGCATCATAGGCTGCCTTATTTATAAGTTCTCCTCTTTTACAAGTGAGTGCTTCAGTGCCTCTCTACGTTCTCATATTTAACTCATCAAAGTGGTGAATAGCTACCACACTACCATAGCAGTGTAGATCAGATTCCTGGATAGAAAGTTCTGGTAGTGGAGACTAATTCCAGTTCAGGTGCTGAACCAGATGGAGAAAGCTTGATGGCATTGCCTAACCCTCATTTAAAGAATGTCCCTCAGACTAGGTCACAAGCATTTGCTGTCTTGGAAAACTGCCTTTTTAATTTTGGTGGCCAGTTGAGCTAGCATATTATTCAATGTACAGTCTATGTCATGCATGAAGGCAAGCTAATTTTGCCTCCTGAGATCTCATTTCTACCACAGACTGTCTCTCTTTCATCTGCGCCAGGACATTCAACCCACATACAGACACACATCCTATAGCTTGGAGCAATATTTGCACTCTCTTGATGCCTTTGGAGCAGTGGCCTTTTGCTGAATAATTACCAGTTGTGGGAGAGATCAGTTCCTGTTTTGGGGACAAGAGTTATCATTGTAGCAGTTCTTAAAAGAGTTGTAACCACCATAAGGATTTGCTGTGATCTAGAAAATTAGCAGTGTCCAACTCACATTAAGAGAGATGTTTAGACACAGCTGTGACAACCCTCTGGATTTCCTTCAGTACAATCTTTGCCAAAATTGTTAAGCATGTACTTGGTCACAATATCCAAGCACTATGGATGTCCGGAGAGAGGTGGCATTTGGGAGAAGGATCTTTTCTTCTCATACTTTGTGGTCCCTCACCCATCTCCTAGACCAGTGATGGCTAACCTTTTTTTGGCTCCTGTGCCAAAAGTGGAGGGAGCGCAGGGGGGTCGTGCATAGGCTTGCCACACCCATAATGCCAAGCACGCACCACCACCCCGCCGCATGCACATGCGACCAGTGCTCCCACTTTTGGCACTTTTTTTTGCCCTCCCCAGGCTCCAGAGGCTTTCTAGGAGCCTGGGGAGGGGGAAAACAGCCCCCCCCCCCGCTTCCCCCCAGGAAGCCTCCTGAAGGCTCCAGAAAATGAAAAACGGCCCTACAACCAAACCAGAGGTGACTTCCAGTTTGGCCATAGGGCCATTTTTTGCCCTCTGGAGCCTTCAGGGAAGCCTTTTGAAGGCTCCAGAGGGCAAAAAACGCCCCTATGAGCAACCCGCATGTCTGTTCCTGAACTTCCGGTTTGCCCGTAAGGGCCAGTTTTTTGCCCTCCAGAGGCCTCAAGGAAGCCTCCGCAGGGCGAAAAACGGCGTCAAAAGAAGGCCGAAGTCAGCTGGACAGCGTGCACATGCACTCTGGAGCTGACAGCAATGCGTCGCTGACAAATGGCTCCGCATTCCACCTGTGGCACGTGTGCTATATGTTTGCCATCACAGTCCTAGACAGTTCACTATTTAACCATTCATGAGAATCAACTGGTGAAAGAGTTTGATGGCAGCTAGGAAGATTACTGAAAAGTGTGCCTAAAGCATGTGGAAGACTCATCAAAATTCCTAAGCTTAGGAATGTTCCAAATGGAGATCTGCACAGCTAGAGAGTCCATTTGTGGGAACTCATAAGTGGCTACTCAAAAGAACCATAATATTAATAAGTAAGCAATTTTTCTACACAATTTTACCTTGCTTGGAGTGTTGCTAAGATACAGCTTTCTTCAATGAATAGCTTTCCTAATTAGCATCAGTTTTGAAGTATATTTTAGAGGTTATGTACAAATGAACCATGGACTCCTTTTTTTCCTTCAAAAAAATTGATAACTAAGTAGGATTTTCTTTTTATTAAATCATCAGTGGTTTTCAAGTAAACTATTAATGTAGTTTTGTAGTAATTCTCAGTGTTTATCATAATGAGGGAAATTATAGCCTTTTTGCATGTTAAATATAATTTCTGGCTTGGAATCTTGAATAGGAATTAATTGTATAATGTGTTCTGTGTGCATGCAGGAGTAATCTGTTTGCGTTCATTGGAATTGCAATCTGGACGGTTGCTGTTTGGTCAAAATCTATAAAAGATGAATTTCCACCCTTCATAGAATTACAAAAAATTGCAAAGTTTGGATTTCAGGGAACAGAATTTGTACGTTCAAATGGAAATTTGAAAAAATCAAATGGTTCTCAGTTATAGGACAATTCCCACATACGTGGTTTATAATCAAACAGAGTCGTAGAAATTATTACACTTAGTTACTTCTAGAAATGAGATTGCAGAAGAAACTGTTACCTACGTTATTTCTAAAACTGGAAAATCGGGTATTTAACTTATCTGTATTGAGTGTGAAAATTCTCTTACAGTACTTGCTATTTTCAATGTATGTGGGTTGCACAAGTGTTTGACTATTTGATTTCCTGTTTATAGGCAAATTAAAGATCAGAATAAGAAGGTAGCAAATTTAAAGCATAAAGAACAGGTGGAGAAGAAAAAGAGTGCCCAAATGTTGGAAGAAGCAAGGAGGCGGGAAGACAATCTTAATGACAGTTCCCAGCAGTTACAGGTAACATCATATCATATATATGTAATGCATGATCATCTGAATTAAACTGCTTTGCTTTGCTTTGCTTTGCTTTAAAACTTACTCTGAATGAAGGATTGTTTTATACTTAAAGACATAACTTTGCTCTCATAATATTCTAAGCTTCTGAAAATAATAAATCATTTGGCTTTAGCATTTGAATCTCAATCTGTCTGTCACTCTGTCTCTGTCTCTGTCTCTCTCTCTCTCTCACTCACT